TATTTCCTTCATATTATGTTGATATTATATTGATTATCAAACATTGTTGAAATAAATTATTATGAATTCATATTATCGAGGAGTTCATCGAGAAATCAATGAAATTCTATTGCTTTTTTTTATACTTACGATCGTGATGGCGTATTACGAGTTTTCAATAATTTCCGTTTCTTATCGTGTAAATCACAAATAGGCACAGCCAGGCATCTCTTTTCGCGATCAGTCAACGGAACATCAAGCGGCTCTTCAATATCGTGAATCAATGCCAGGATAGGGAGGGTCAAACCACCACCAGTAACATCCGTTTTCCAAGACACTGCTTCTTCTTTCGATGAAGTAGCTCCACGTTGGTTACCAACGATCGCCAACCACGACTCTGTCGTTCTTTTCTCCTCCTTCGGCGAGGGTTGTTGCTCTTTTGGTGGACTATATTCTTCGTCGAAAGAATCTTTCTGAAAAGAAACTGCACAACAGAGAATTTCATTTCATCGATTATTCAATCATCGATAAATCGAATTTTATGATATATATCGAGTTAAAATTCATTGTTTTAAAATTTAAAATTTTCTTTTAATTTATAGAATTATTAATTCTAACTATTACTAGTATCTGATTAAAATTAACGATGGAGATCAGTTAAAAAAAAGAAAAAATCATAATTTGATTGATATTCCAATAAATTGAAATTAAATTAGAAAAAAATTTAAATTTGAACAATAATAGTCACGATATGTTCATAATGATGCACTTATTTAATCACTTCCATTTGAATAAATTTATTCGATTTTTATTTAGTATTGGTAAATTCTGTAATCGATTCAATTGAATCACGATAAAATGTCAGGCCAAGAGAATTTTATAGTCACGATAAATGTATTTACCAAGCAACCTAATTTAATGGGGCCGATATTCGCAATACTTGGCCATTTACCGAAAACTGGGCCAAACGATATTTCGTGTCATCGATTCTGTTTTACAGGGCTAAACGAGCTACCTAATATTTTTCTACGACTTTCATCCTCATTTTTTTTCCATACCGTGAATTTTTTGTTTAAAACAATACGAAATGAAAACACGAACATTTTAAAAGTGAAAATGAAAGAAAATAATATAAAAAAAAAAAAAAAAAAAAAAAAAAAATAGGAAGAAGAAATTTGTAGACACGCTTAATAAACGTTTCTCGATAAATAAAAGATTAAATTGTAAAAAAAGAGAGATCGATCCATCAAATCGTTACTTCAATTTATTTTCCTCTTGCCTTTTCTCTCAATCAAAAGTTCTCCTTTAAACTTTTTTTCCTTCTTTCTTTCGATCATTAAGTTAAAGATTTGATCTTGTTGTGAAGAACAGGATTTCGAAATGAAAACACGATATATCTACGAAATATCTGTTCTTAGAAGTTTCATCGTTAAATCGGCATTTACCCTGACCGAACACCTATCAATCGAAGTTCAATTATTAAAACCTGATTACGTGGCGAGTTTCAATGGAATATTTTGCTTCAAGGTCAGTGGTGCAATAGAGAAGAAGTTTGGTCGATTTAACGGGTTCGATCCTCTTATTGTCTTCACGAGTTTCATGTCGTTGCACGATAGAAGTTCGCTTTAATTAACGACGATATACGATGGTATTTAAAAGAACGAAATCGTTTAGAGTGATTCGAGTGTGAAAGGAATTTTCCTCGGTTCATTCTTTGAATTTCTTGCGACGAGAATTTCCTGCTACCGAGAGATCAAAGTAAAAACGATCGGAATGTAAATGGAGATTTATTAAATCTTGTCTGCGTGAAAATGATATAATTTCTGGGTAACAGATCAGATAAATAAAATTTAAGAGATATCTCGATTAAATTTTAAGCTTTTGCTTTTGTAATTATAAGATAGAATAATAGTAGAATCTAATAACAAAATCTTAAATTCTTAAATTTTTAAAGCATGTCGTTGTTGAAATTTTTATTTTTTTGTAAAGAAAAAATGAATGTATCTCGTATAATATTTTAAGAAAAAATTAATTTTTACAAGAAGCAGTAGAATCTTTAAAAGTTTATCAATAAGATTCGTACGAATAACGAAGAAAAAATTAACATCGTGTTTTATATTTGTCCTTTTGTTTTTTTTTTTTTTTCATGCTCGAAGATACTTTAAAAACGCAGATGAATATTTCAAAGTAATTCGCGGCATTTGCGTCATTCCTAATTATTTCGTTCATTTACAATTCCATGATCGTCAAGCGTACATATGTTGTTAAATTCTTGCACGATATTCGTAAATGAAATATATATATATATATATTTGTGCTAACTCTATACGTGAAAAGCAGCTGCAAAAAATAAAATTTCGACGTGAAAATTAGAAATTATAGGTCTTATGCGATTTGTATTTCTAAAAAAATCGAATTTTTTTTTTTTTTAGTTTAAATAAAAAGACATCGAAGTGTATATATATATATATATATTTATACCTGACTTGATAGGCCTTCTCGCGCTACTCAAAGCCGAGTTAATCGACGTTTTAATGATCGACGTGGTGGGCAGTTTACTACGCAACTCGTCGATTAATTTATCATCCCTGAGTGAATTTTCGATATCGCTATCGCTGTCTGCAGAACTAACAAGGGATACCATTGTAACGATGTCCATCGTTCTTGAATCGATCGAACTCTTTCCACGAGTTCCAGATCTATTCCGTATTTTTCCATCCTCCTCATTTTTCGACGCGCAAAAACGTCTTTTCGCACTTCTGGATCGTCTCTTTAACGGTGCCGATCTCACACTTCGATTCGATGTTATCTGATTAATTTTAAACAAAGTCAGATTCTCTTTCAAAATAAGCATAACAATTATCAATATCGAATAAATATTTAATATGCATTCGTTTCATTCGTAAAATATATAACAGCGAAATTTTCAATTTATGCGCCGATCGAAAAGAAAGAGTTCGAAGATGCAAAAATAAATTAGCAGCGTGAATCGAAAAGTTTTACATGTTTAACAAAAAAAAAAAAACAACTGTAAAAATTGGATTACGTGCTTTGAACGGCGATATCTCGCTGTAAAATAAATAAGAATTTCATAGAAATTTAATATCGTGAAAAAGATAAAATATTTCGCTCACTTTTTTTTCAAAGACGATTCAACAACGATAAAGAATTATATTACGTCTCTTTGTATATTGTATATAAAAATAATAAAAATAATCGTAAAAATCTAAGTAGAAATCAATCCAATAAAGAACGATATACCTTTGTTACAGCCGTATCTATCTTTTCCATTGTGTTGTATCTACAATCCATATCTTGATCTTTTTGATTACGATTCTTTCTCATCGAGTCGATTACGACATTAACGTGAACCCGATTATTATTATTATTAGCCGAAATCGATTCGAAACGGCGTTGCGGCGGCGCAGAATTAGTCCTCCTCGATTTCTGATCGATCTTTTGACTTTCCACCGGTTTTTTTATTGACGGATTCCTATCGTTCATCGTGTTCGATCTCGCTTCCGAACACCTCGAAAATGAAGTTTTATCAATCGTAGAAAGATCAGAATCTTTGTTCTCGATACTCGTGGACGAGATTTTCCTCGTCGAATCGGATCGATCCGTTTCCCTTGGTGTTATCGTTTCATTATCATCTTGCAAATCATTTTCTTATTTTCGATCGAGATTGTTTTTATCTGCGCATTTTTATCACCTGCACAATTCGATTTATCGGCTATCCTTTCTATCGTCGCGGCTTTCTCGTTCGTGATCGAGTCGCACGGAGAATTTTCTCTCCACGTATTTTTCTCCTCCGTATCGTCCTCTTTATCCTCGATCGTTCCCTTTAAAAAATTCTTTTCGATAATCGCGGCCGATGATTTTTGAAACGAATTTTTCTCCGATATCGAGCTCCATTTGACCTCGGTTGCCGATCTGATTGGATCGAGGAAGGCTCGGTTAGCACCGCTGTGAAAACTTGCACGTTTCTGCTTAGCCGATGAGAAATCTTCCCTCTTCGCGGTTCCCAAACTCGAATTTTCCACCATCTTGATCGAGGGTAATGACGTGGACGACACTTGTTTTTTCTTAGTAGAGGAACCATGCTCGTCCATGCTCGAATCCTTCGATATTTGCTTGAATGAAAGGAAAATTGAAATTAACGGTGTTGAATTCGAGATTGAAAAATATTTGCACGTACATTTTAATTGTACCTCGTTTACCTGCTCCTTTTCCGTGTCAACCTTCTCTTTGCTCTTCGTCTGCTCCACGGAAATTTTGCTCCTCTCCAAAGGTAAAAAATTAATAGGCAATTTGTCTTCCAATTTTTTAACCATTTTCTCGCCTTCTTTCTCCTCGAGATCTTCGCCCTGTATTATTTTACGGTTATTATCCAGAGGAATTTCGATCTTACATTTCTCGTTTCCTCGCACAGGAGACGATGGAGCAGTGGTAGGATTCGATATTTCGGAGTCACATCTCTCCAAGTCCAAGGTTTCGCGAGCCAAGAAGATATTTATATTGGCTTTATTCTTCTCTCGATTTTGCCAAGCGAGCCTCAACCTCTCGGCCAATTCTAATCTCGAGTAAAGGATCGATGATTTCTCGATCCCTCTCGACCTACCACCGGTAGACTTGGATCGTCCTGGAATTTGACGGGCCACCACTTCCACTTGCCCCAGTTCTTCTTCCTCGTTTTTTTGACGATTTTCCTTCCACGCAACGCGAACCTAAAATTCATCTTTGATTAAAGTCGTGATTAAAATTCGAATCAAGTAGTTGAAATTTTTCTCTCCGAGTTGTTGTCGATCGTGACACACCAGTTGAGAAGAATACGATCGGACGAGGATTTTTAAATTGGAAGAAATTATATAGTTTATTTTAGGAAGAGAACGTTGTTGAGGAAGGAAAACGGAGGATACCTTGGGTCTGTCGGAGCCGAGTTTACAAGTTCCACGCTTGCCACGTGCAAACGGACTCGCGCAGATCTGCAGCGACTTTTCATCCTCCGCGGATCTTTGTCGTCTGACTTGCTGACGACGGGGCGCAGGTGGTTGCAACGACAATTGCCTGACTGGTCTGATCGACCTTTCGGATCCTGACATTTCTTCGAAATTTCTTCTTGCTGGCGATCGTCGTTCAAGGTTCTACGCTCTACGATAATTTAATTGCTTTGAAACCAATCTTTCTCTATTCTCTCCTACTCTTCGTGATTCGTTAAGATTTACAGCAAATATTCAAATCGTAAAAGAAAAAAAAAAAAAAAGAATAATTATCCGATTCTAATTCGAATTGCAATTGTTGATAAATCGGTTAATAAATCGATTAATACGTACTCACTGGACGAGTTTACGATTTAGATAGAAAGGGGGCGGAGTACGTGAACACGATGGATGAACTTCCATCGTGGTTGGAGCGCGAGCAAACGCCGACTGACTAACTTCATCCATTGCCCTCTGACACGATCGTTCACCACCACTGCCATTTCACCGATTTATACACCTTCGTGTTATCCACCACCACCCGCTAGTAATCGTAGGTTCGGCCAACCAACACGTTTCCACCCTCCAAAGGGTGGTTGAACGATATATTGCTTCCTTTAATTCGAACGACGCTCGAGACTACTACACCGACACTTTGCTCGTGGCACACTGTTACCAATGGAATGTGAAGGGTGGTCGAACTCACTCGCTAACTCGACATCCATCGCCCCCTAATTCGTTATCGGTGGTGTAACTTGGCTGGGACTTTTTTCCCCTCATTCATTTCATTTATTTCGTTTTTGTTCGCGAAGAAGCTTTATTTTCGGATTTCTTAAAATCTCTAAAATTAATAAATATCTTAATTAATAGGAGATTGATTTAAATTTGTGACTCAAGTAAGATACGCGAATCATCGATGAGTTTGGATTCTTTCTTGATATTTAGAATTTTAGAAATGTTGAATTCTTGACTCGAAAAATGATAAATATCGATAATCTTTCCATCTTTCCATCTGTAATGATAATTAAAATTTTCTCTTGCAACGCGTATCTTTTATTTATTATTATTATTTTATTCTCCTATTCTTTTCTTCCTTTCTCCCCAATTATTCGCCTTCTGTTACGTTAAGGAAGAGCCAATCACAGCTCGACATGTTGTCCCACGGAGGGATCGACTACAACTGGATCACTCGATTTCGCGGGAACGTGTGTTAAATCGGCAAAGTCGAATTATAGCCGACAGTCACCGGCAGGGTTTATTATTGATCAAAACTTTACCTATCATCTGACAGCTTGTTGTCCGGTGTTGCCATGGCATCGCCGATCATTCAAATCCATTTTTCTCTCGTTCTTCGTCTCTTTCTTGCCCGCCTTCTTCTTCTTCTTCGCCCGCCACCAAGTCGCTCTTCAATCGCTGCGAGCAGGATTTAAACGCGAAACTTTGCCCCCCCCCCCCCGGAACTCGGCCACGTCGAATCCTTGAAAATTAAGAGAATCCCATTACCTCTTCTAGCCTTAATTGCTTCGCTTATCAACGATTTCGACGTACCTTGGCCCCAGGGATGGGCAATACCGACGGATGGATGGATGAATTGTATTACTCTTCTCTTCGTTCCCATCTTGAATTTTCATCGTTTCGTTATTTATTAAATTTTTGCTGTTCTCGTTTTAAAAATTAGGCAAATTAAATCGATCGATCCATTTGAAACTGGTCAACTGTAATTTAAATTATACTAGAAATAATTAAAAAAGAAATAATATTATCGTCTAAACGATGATTACTTTTTTTTATCATGCTAGATTATTTTTTCCAAGGCTCGTTTCTTGATAAATTAAGATTTACGAAATATCTTTACGTTTTATATTTTTGATGGAAATCCAAGTTTTTAGTTTTCATTCGAGTTTATCCATCCCTGTTCCGGTTTCTGGAATGACTGTCTATCGTGCTCGATCGGGACTAGAAAGTTCGACTTGGCGAGGCTTGCCAAGAAATTTTCGAGGCTTCTCGTTTCACGATCGAGCCGTTTCATCAGGATTGATGGATGCCTGATTTGCCTGCAACACGAAAAACGGAATTATATATTATTTTTTTCAACTATTTTCTTTTGTGTTTGAAAAATATTATTTAAAAAAAAAAAGAAAAAAATTGATTGATTTTATTTTTACAAATATAATATTCTAAATATAAATCTTTTCTTACCAAAAAAATATATATATATATATACATGATGTCTCAAAAATGAAAGAATATCGATTAATTAGAGATTTCTTAGATAATTTCATCTTCCTTTGCAAAAACTTTCGTTAACTTTGTTGTTAAAAAGTTATTAACAAATAACATTGGAAACTAGTCAAGTTGCGACAGTATCAGATAGTGTCGTCGGTTGAACGCGAACAAGTTCAAGCAACACGTGTCGGAAAAAATCTGTTGAATGTGATTATTCGAAAAAAAAAATTATTCGAGGAGTCTTTGTTTTCTACTACTTTTCTTTGTTATCGAGTGAAGGAAAAAAGCATTTCTTGAATAATTTAATGTAATTTTTTATTGAATATCTAAAAACATTCAAAATTCTCTTCGACACATGTTGCTTGGAGTTGTTCGTGTTTACCTAGCGTATTTTACATTAACCGTGATTGTTTTTAATAATAAGATTGTAATGAAATTTATCATGCATAGAAATCTCTAATTTCCATATTTTTCTTGAACAATTGTGTAATCTTGTTACGTACTATTTCTTATTCTATTCTTTCACAGATCTTGAGGATTAATTTGGGAGGAATGGCAAACGAAAGTTCTTTCACTTTTTTGTTAGAAGATTCGTTCAGCGACAATGATAAAAGTGTCGAAGATTATTCATCGAGATTAAAAATATCCTTTCGAATAATTTAATTTTTACATTAATATCGCTATTTTACATTAGCATGCAAATGTAATAAATGCAATTTGTTTCCATTTTATTTTTCTTAATCAATGATAATAATGATCACGATGCTTTGGAGAGTCTTATTCAGAAATACGATGGGGAATTATTGCAACGAACACTGGAGCAATCTTTATCCTCCTGCTCGGATAATTTACTGGATGAGAAAATTTTCAATGAAATTTTTCCTTTCGCTCATGATCTTTTATTCAAGGTAAAGGAGCAAAAGATACATTATTTTAATATATATGATTTTAATACGATGAATTTAACCAATTTTTTACTTTTTTTTTTTAATCTTCGTTCGAAGACTTTAAAGGAGATCGAATGTGAAGTGATAAATAGAAATGCGGAGGAAGACAAGGTGCAAGATACGAAACGAAAACTGTTCGTTTGCCACGAATTGTTAAAAGTATGGGAGAAATCTATGGAACGTGTGTCGAAACTTCAGAAAACATCTGCCATCGATCTTAAATCCATACTGGAGAACGTACTTGTTACAATTGAATTAATATTTGAACACTGTAGAGGAAGGTGATTTTTTAATTTTCTGATTATCTGATTGAATATTATTAATGTACAATGATTTAAAAATCGTTTTAACATTGGGGACGAGAAATCGATATAAACTTGGAAAAAGTGCAAATATATATAATTTCCTATTTTTACAGTAAAAAATTATACGGTGTTTTATTCGACGAGATATCGGAGGAACTGACGAATCTCTTTCGCAAAGCAAAAACGATCTTGAATCTATTCTTGGCCACTTTAGACGGTGTAATGGTCTTCGACACGGATACGGAATCGGAAACGGAACTGTTGGTAAAAGGTGAGCGATCCTATTACGTCTTAACGATTCTTTAATACGAATTGTCTTTATCTTCATCGAATACACCGAGTATAAGAAAAAAAAAAAAAAAAAACAAAATCGCTCTATTCAATTTCTCATCTTATTACTCTCGATATTAGCGGTATATGATTTAGAATTTTTATTCGTGTTACATTTCGTTACTCTTCGTTAGATCTATCGAAGAGATCATATGCAATAACGAGAGAAATTAAATGATGTATAGAAATTCTTTTTTTAATTCGTCGTTTCGATTAAAGAAGATATAATTTTTCTATTCGAAACAGTGATCGATTCTATCGGATTGTTCGTCACTATTGCTCACGATTTAGACTTGAAAACGTTCGTAGAAACGTCAAAAGTATTCGGAAAATTGGCAATTACGAAACAAGATCTTGTCAAAAAAACGAATGTTACGAGCGTCACTTCGCATCTTGCACAATTGGCAAAAAATATATCCTCCATGTTCTTGTTCTGTCAGGTATGTTTCAGATATTAATCTACTTAAAAAAAAAAAAAAAGAAAAGAAAAAGAAAAACTATAAAAAAATTTTATATCATTAGATTAATCATATTTCCAATTAATCTAAAGTTTTATATATACATGTATATTATTGTATGATACGAGGAAATAGAATCATCGATATCGATCGTCTATTATATATCACTTTTTAAATCACTTATCAAATATTTTATTGATCTCTCCATTGATATATTTTAATAATAGTTAATGATGTCAAGTCTATGCATATTACAATTTTTTCCAATTTTTTTTAAACAACAGATATGGGAAAATACTAGAAAATATAAAAGAGAATTTAAAAATAAGTTAAAAATATTTTTTATAAAATTGTATTATGTATTTTTATCTAATTATATTTATGCAGGATTCGACTGAGCGGATCGATGAAAGAAAAATAAAAGTTATTGGTCATTCGTTAAAAATTTTGGACAAATTATTCGCAACTTATTGTTCGTACATAAATAATGAGATTCTTTCGTTTGTAATCGAACTTTTGTTAAAGATGCACAGGTTATTTTTTTTTTTTTTTTATTTCCTTTCTTGTCTGTTTCTTGTTTAATTTTCAAATTTCCACATTATCCCTTTGCGAATAGGTGTTCTCCGTTATGTTTGCAAAAATCAAAGATTGACGATAAATTAATCGAATTAATAAACGTTCATATCTCTCGAGGATCGGAACCATTTTTCAATACAGTTTTCAAATCTTCCGATTTCAAGCAGGTTCGACCATTTTATTAATAAATTTGTTCAATCATCAATGTGGAATATTTTTTTCCATACTCTTAAAAAATATTTCAGGCATTTTTCGAATATGGAAATCAAGCAAACATCGATAAATTAGGTTATCACTTATTGATAGTTAGCATTATGAAAAAATTAACCAACATGCCGTACGAGCAACATTGTAAATGGACATTAGGCGCTGAATCGATCATCGATGTTGCATTAACTAACATTAATCACAGTAAGTAATATTTTTTTATATTATGTTTAATACTCATTAAATTTATAAATCTTAACTCGTTTAATTGTTAACGAAATTTTATCATTTGAATGAAATTTATGATGATTTTAAAAAGTTAAGTTAAGATCGAAAAGATTGTTTGGAATTAGACAAAATCTTGAAGATATTCATCTTTTGTATATGCTCATAAAGTACAGGAAGAAATATTGGTCGGTCAAGTGAGATTGCCAGGTGTACACGATATCGGTGAAAGACCAAGATCGGCTTCGATATATGAAGCCACAATAGTGCCAATTTGTAGTCTGATTAGTCAAATACCTGCGGACGGATTTCAAGCTGTCGAATTGATTTTGTTGAAGCATTTGTTAAGCGATCAACTTTGGAGTTCCTTGCTTAGTTCGGATATTTGGTGTTTCGTTGACCGGTATGTAAATCGAGTATCTCGAATAATCCATGAGTCATGATATCATATTTCGAAATAAGATACGATTATTTAATTTTTAAAATAAAATTTATCGCGATACCGGCTCTGATAAATTATTGAACATGAATGAATTGTGTATTATGATTATAATGATTATTTTTACAAAATATATGCGTATTATTTATTGCACATTTTATTTTTTATGGAACCGATTTGTTCTTCAATTTAAATCAATTTTTTTTCTTTTTAATATTCTATCTTTTTCTTGGACGTAATATCCTTATTATCTTTTCAGCATTGGTTCGTCGGAACTTTGCACTAGTCACGTGAAGTATCTACTAAAAGTTTATGCTGTTTTAATGACACGTAGCAATAGCCTCGAACTCGTTGTATTGGAGAATTTAATTGGAAGATTGTACAGTTTATTGTCAGAGGAAACGAAGCATACCCTTATAACGGAATTTGATGATCTCGAAAATCCATCCTGGTTACCCGTCGCTCGATTTTTACCATCCAAAACGAAATTATTCTTGCAAAATCGATTAGCGTGTATATTAAATGAAATCCCGACTGCCTTTGCAGAATTACAGCGGCAACCCACCATACAAAACTGGAATCATATTGTAAGTTACATTCGAATGAATTTTTCGTTTTTTTTTTTTNTTTTTTTTTTTTTTACGTTAGGATTTTAATCATAATTATTTTCCACGTTAAAAGACTAAGCTGATGTCATTGGCCGGGAAATTGAATTACACGGAAGAACAGAATATTATTGATATTCTTTCTCAGATATGGAACTCTATAGCAAGCACAATCGAAATTTTCGAAGGTAGACAGTTGGATATATTATCGGAATTCATATTGAAGTTGTTTGTTGCCACACAACCTCAAAAAATTCAAGATAATACTTTCTTCTCGGTATGCTCATTTCTTTTTTTTATTATATAATAATAATTTATACATTGTCATTATTAGATAATATATATAATAATGATATTACGTAAAATAAAATTTTTATTTTGAAAATTTGAAAAGTTTTGTTGATTTTGAATTTTGCATTGGATATATTTTTTTTTTCAATTTAAATCAACTTATAAAAGTATCATTTTTTTATTTTGATGTATCATAGAAAAATTGTAACGTGCCTTTTTATATATAATGTGTAAAATTATATATGTATATGTAAATAGTATTTAATTATTTCAGATTATAGAAGCAATTCTAACGTCATTCTTTTATTTTCCGTCGCATGTTAAAGCGATTGCGTCACATTATTTAAGAAATAATATCGATTCACTTGACAATTGTGGACTTAAAGTTGCCAATGCGTTAGCGGAATTCAATTGTCGACTTTTAGAAGATGAAAATCCTTGGGTACGACAAGAAGCTTTTGAATCATTCGATCATGTAGCCCATATGTGCCCGAATGAAGATCTTGTTACTAAAATGGCTGCTGCAGTTACGAAAAAATCGTTATTAAGAGATTCTTTGCCGGCCTATTTATCTGGCACGATCTATTATCAACTTCAAAATTTCTCAAATATTGAGGATTATTTGCAACATATAGGAAAACATTTGCAAGATATTTACCATGTTTGTAATAATTATGAGGATTCTGAAAAGGATGAAAAACTTCCTAAATTGGAAACTCATTCCATCGAAAGCTTTGATGAAAATCCATCTATAAACGATCTTGATGAACACGTGAGCAGAATATGTGACGAATTGAATGATATTTTGAAAAAGAATAATGATATTAGTACTCACGTTTTACGAAGATTACGACTAGTTTGTAGGAAAATTCTGGATCTAACTGAATCTAAATGAATATATTTTGTATAAGATCACGTATGTTAAAACCTATATAAATGTATTAGTACATATATATATATATAAAAAAAACATTAATATTAAATAATATAAAATGTATTGTTACATATACGTATTTAAAAGAACATTAATATTATTTTTTACATATATTTTACTTAAACTAAGTATTATTATATATTATAATAAGGTAAGCAATACAACAGCTTTCACAAATATGTTCAATTTATTTCGTTCCATTTTATCAAATTATTTTGTTTTATTACAAATGTCTTTTGAAATATTTTTTATTTCATTGGAATATTTTATTTCGTTCTGTTTTTTTCTATATATCATTAATATCTTTATATCATTAATATAAAGATAAGATAAAATAATAAATAAGTTTAATCAGTGATTTTGTAAAAAAAATTAAAAAAGAATTAAAAATATAATTTATAAATTAGTTCAAAGAGCTAACCTATTGAAATGATTGAATATGATGATTTTATTCTTGATAAATATTGCATAGTTATCTATAGTTATATAAGTATATAGTATACTACTATAGTATGTAATAATCGTAACATATTCATGTATGTTTTGCATAATAATATCTATAATTACTATATTAATACTATATTAATGTCAACTACTATATTACATGATATACACACGAAAATGCGTAAAAATATTCAATTAAAATATTGTATATAATATTATATTAATTTCATATCATATCGTATCATTTCAGAATATTATTTATAACTTCAAGTTTGAACAAATAAAAAATTAAGATTTATTAAAAAATTTTAATTGATATCTTATATCGTTAACATTTATTTTTATTTTCAATATAATAAGCTTCTATACTTCTATACTGCTTTTGCAGTATAATTTCTACTACCAAACGGTTTACATTGCGTTATCGTAAATTTGTTTAATATCATATAATGATATATATATATATTATATAAAAAATTTTATATATTTATATATTTAAGATTTTTTATTTTTCTTCTATATTATACGATAAAATTAATAATTTTTATAGTGTATTATAGTATATTTTAACTTACATAAAATTTTTCAAGGTTTGATTAAGTGCTATTATAATTTTATAACAATCTAAAATAATGAATGCAAAAAGTACGTATTGATATTTTGTGTTATATCTAGATGGAAGTAAAAAATTTGGAATTAAAAAAAAATTTATCTAAGGATACAGTATTTAATACAATAAATAAAATGTTTATATCATTAGAAGATGATGATGTACGTAGAACTAATAAGTCTTTATTACTGGTATGTTTTTATATTATATGTTATGATAATATATATTGGCTTGCATATATAATATATATTATACTATATTATATACTTTATTATATAATATTATAATTTAATAGGTGATTCAAACTATAATAAATCTTATGAAATTAGAGGATTCATTATTTGAAAAAGCATATCAAGAAATTATTTTTTTAGGTAGTTTTTATAAAGGAACAAAAGTAGGAAAACCAAATGAATTTGATCTAAATGTTATTTTAAAATTACCTTTTAATGATAAACAAATAAATGTAAGAATATTTTTATTTAATTATAATAATCTTAAGTTATTTTTTTAATTTTTAATGATATAAACATTTTTTTTTCCATGCAGTTTTATTCAAAAAAATCAGCTTTCGTCCAAATTCAAATAGAAGATCAATCATCTATGTATTCATCTAAATATGATCATCTCTCAAGTAGAGGAAAAAAGTTGAAAAATAAATTATAATTATTAAATATAGAAATATATTTATAAACAATTTCATTATATTTTTATATAAAATATTATTGTTTTTTAGATCACTTAATAGTTTTATTTCTTCTGGATATTTAAATCCAAATAAATTTCGTTATTGGATTAAAGGAATTCTATATAAAGTTCTTAATAAATTACCAAAAGTTCAAGATAAATATGAATTAAGAATAAATGATCAATTAAAGGCAAAAATCAAAATAAAAGAGAATGGTCCTGCAAATAGAATAATAATAAATATGCCATGTGAAACTGAAAATATTCATATTGATTTAGCTCCAGCATTAGCTTTCCATATAAATTACATTAATCAGTTTACTTCAAAATTTAATGAACTTGAAAATGTTTGTATTATATTTAATTTATTATACTTAAATAAAAATATTTTTATATTATAAAAATTTTCTATTTTTAGTGTCGAAATAAAACATGGTTTGCAATTCCAGTACCTTTAACAACAAATAGTGATGGAAATAGTGATTTTGAAAATGATGAAAATCTTTATTGGAGATTTTCTTTTAGTCATCAAGAGAAAGAAATTCTTACTAAATATGGTCGTATAAAATCAGTCATACGTCAAATGAAGGTTGTTTAATAAATTATGTACTTTCAATATTACAAAACATTTCTAACATTGTTGTGTTTTTTTAGAAATTAAGAGATACACAAAATTGGAAAAGTATCGCAAGTTATTTCATAGAAACTTTATTTTTACATAAAGTGGAAGAATTAAAAAACGATCTCGAACAAATACCATTTACATTATTTTTTTTTAAAGTAATATATAATATATAAAAGTATTTGTGTAATAATATACATAATATATAATATTAGAATCAATACATATAAAAAATTTATAAGATATTACATACGAATTCCATATGAATTATTGTTGTTTTTAGATGCTTCAAGAACTATATTATGCTTGCAATATGCACATGTTGGAATATTATTGGAATGATAAGTATAATTTATTCTCAAAGATTAGTAAAATAGAAATGTATAACATAACTCACCATTTAAAAAATATCATAAAATGTATTGAAAAAAATTCAAATGATCAATTCATACTAGCTAAATTTATTTGTAAGTTGTATTTTTTAAAATTATGAAATGAAGATATTGATATATTTGAAGATATATTTTAAATATAATTTTTCATAATTTTTTCTTTTCTTAGTATAAAATTCAATATAAATGATTGCATTCTATTCTATATAAGTAAAACAAAAATTATTATTATGAAATTTTTCTTCAAATATTTTGATTTTTTAACAAAAATTAATAATCATTGTGAATGATTGTTTGTAAATGTTGAATCTAAATTTTATTATTTTCTTTTAAATTACAGTAAATTCAGAGGAATTAGCATTATTGATGGAAAAAATAAATAACAATATGTAGAAGATATATATATTAATCATAATTAATATATTATAATAAAATATAATTATATGATAAAATAATAATATATACGATAATTTTATAGATCAAAATAATAAAATACAAGAAGAAGAAAATGCTAATTGATGTATAGTAATCTGATTTATTTTAAAATATTTTTATAAATATATATTTATACTTAATATATTTCTAACAATTTTGTATTCAATTTTATATTCAAAATGTTCTCAAATAAAAACATTAATATTAATTAGTTTTAAACATTTTATTTTTTTAGTACATTTATTTACTAATTATTCTTTCATATGTTTGTATCTTTTCAATTAATATCTTTATGTAACATATTGTACTCAATATAAAATTTGAAATATAAAATAACTTATTTTAAAAACATTCATATTATATTATTAATTATTATATATATAATTATTACAAATATATATTATATTTATATTGTTAAATATTTGTATTATATTAAAAAGAAAATTAATAAAAGAATTTTTGATATATCACGAATATTATTTTTTTATATGATTAATTAAAGGTATTGCATTAGAATCAGCCCAATCTACAAAAAAGTTTCCTAATTGATTAGCACAACGAATCATTGTAAGACAATCTCCTTCAGCGCTGTGTGCATTTTCAGGCTCAGTATCAAAAATATGTTTATAAACATTATTTAACTTAAAATTTACTGGTTGACTATTTGTAAAATCTAATTTTCTTTTTGCGTTTGTACTTCTTTTTCTGTCCTGAAAATTTTTATCAGAATGTTGAATTTTTATAATTTGATTCTTAGGTGTCTTTTCATTCAGTTCTTGCATTTTTTTACAATAATTAGTTTGTGGAGTGTTAGATATACTATTAGAATGAGATGTTATAGATTTCTCAATTTTAAGAGAAGTGTCATTTATGTTATCATCATTTGTATTTATAGTAGAATCTAATGCATCAGATAAAATTTTATCATAACCATCATTCAATAAAGTACTAACTTCAACATTATAAGAATTATTAATTTGATTATTCATTTTTTTTATTTGATTTTCACGTAAAAAGAAGTCTTTTATTAACTGTAGCATATCAATACTTAAAATATTTTCACTGAAACTCTTTAAAAATTAATATTATATTATTTAATTAGATCATATTAATATCAAATTATTAATATCATAAAACTATGAATTATAAATACCTTGTCAATAGTTTTAAGTTCCGATAAAAAAATGGGATAATCAAAATTATTTCCATTATAAGCTACAAAGCAAGTTGGTGCTTTTTGTCGATTTATAAAATTTATTATTAAATTGTATACATCACAGTTAAAATCTTGAACTTCATATAAATTTTCATTAGATAAACCTAACAACATAAATATTATTCATATAAAAATTAAAGGATATAGAAGTATATTTGAAATAAATTAGAAATTGATTATTATTGATCATTTGATTAATTAATTATTAAATTATATATTACCTGTCAATGTTTCAATCTTTTTTGAAACATTCAAATTTGGATGTATTGGTAAAACAAGTTTTTGTAAAACTCTTGGTAAAAAATCATTGGTATTACACACAGCAGTTCTTGATACTGCAATTAATGATAATTCGATCATTTTTGGCATACAATTTTTTGTTATTAATCCTGTTGTTTCCAAATCAAAGAATATAAATGTCCGTATCATTTTTAAGGAATTTAAAATTACAATATTCATACAAAATTATATAAATTTCTATTAAAAAATAAAATTTTAATTATTAATTATAAAAATAATAATTTTCTATTTTGGAATAAAGAAAAACAAAATATTATTTTTAATCAAACCTCAGTTATATAAACTAAAATACAATAGTTTAAATACTAATAGCCAGTTAAGTACTAATGATATCTATAAATATATATTTTTTAAAACGGTGATACATTGATAAAACGATTAATAACGTTGATAAAACATTGATAAAACATTAATAAAACATTTTTGCATTTGATAATTATTTTAAATTATTAATTAAAATAAATTTTTAATAATATTTTTTATTAAACGAAACCTTTTTTGACATGCAATAAAATTAGCAATAAATATTTCCTTCATTTCAAATAATAATTATTTCAATTTTAAAATAAAAGTTTTAAATTATTGATACATAAAAATTCCATCTTTCAATTATGACAAATTAAAAGCGATACAGGTTATATATCACATTAATAACTTCCAAATAATTTTTTAAGACTAACGCCATCTCGCGTTTGGATCACTGAAGCTCCGACTTGTTACTAGCATAACAGCATATGCAAGGAGGTATACTAATCCGTGTGACGTCACAGACAAGGAAAGCAATATTTTACGAGAAGGATAGAGAATATTTTCTGCCAAAATGGAAAACTCATTAATTACTTGTTTTTTGATCAAAATTTTGGCATATTTAAAACCGCATTTAAAAGTTAAAATTTTAGCCAAGTTTCTCGTTATAATTTTAATGTGAAATTTTTTGTCATTAATTATTTATTAATGATTAACGCATCATTCGTTTCTATGCATCGGTGACGCCATATTGAAAATTCATTAATTAATCTTTTTCAACTAAAAATTTCGGCACTTTGCATTAATGACAAAGAATTTTACACTAAAATTGATATAAGAAATTTGCCTAAATTTCTAGCTTTTAGATGAGATATTGAAAGTGCCGAAATTTTTTTAGAAAATGAATAATTAATGAATTTTTAATATAGCGTTATTGATATATTAGAATATATGACGCTTTAATCGTTAATAATTAATTAATGATAAAGAATTTTATATTAAAATTGATACGAGAAACTTGTTTGAAGTGATAGTTTTAAGATGTAATCGTAAAAGTGCCGAAATTTTGCGTAAAAAATGAATAATTAATGAATTTTCAATATAGCGTCTTCGATGCATTAGAACG